TCCGCTGAATAAGCACCGCAAAATGCAATGTAAATAAAAATATTAAAATTAAGTGCATAGAAAAAACTGCACAAAACTTACAATGGCAACAATCACACAATTGGCGCGCAATTACAAAACAGGAAATCCGCCATTAAAAATGAGCAACACCAAAAGTCAACGCTCGTTGTCAGGCTTTTTTCGCCACTTTTCGCCATTTTTATTTTTTTTTTTTGCTTTGTGCTATTTTGCATTCTGCATTCTGCATTTTGTTTATTTATTTTTCTTTTTCTTTAACATTTCTATTTGATTTTATTTTATTTTAATTTTCATTAAAACCAGACTGACTGACTCACTGACTTTGACTCTGACTCTGACTTGGTGCTGGCCACAATAACACACAACAACCAGAATGAAGCGCATATACAATTGCCAAGAATGGCTGTATTATATCCATTATTATTCTTATTATTTTTATTCTTTTATCTATAAGAAAAAAATTAAACAGTAATAATAAAAGATAGTGGAAAGCAGTTAGTTGGCAACTTAAATTATTGCAAAATTATGCGCAACAACAGAAAAGCAACGTTGCAGTTTCAACTGAAACAACAGTTCCGCATGTGGAAGCAGTAGGCGGTGCGGGGCGGTGCGGTATGGTGCAGTGTGGAAAAGAAAAATAGATCGATTAAGTTTGTACATTTTTTACTGCGGTTTTTATTTTGCAATCATTTCGTAAGCAATTTCTTTAATTACTTAAAACTGAAAAGTAATTTACTTCACTGCTGCGAAATTAGTACAAGGATTTATTATAAAAGTATTTTTTTTTTAATTTTTTTTAGAATATTTTATTCGTTCCATCTAATGAAAATGGTGTAGTAGTTCTTTAAAGTTTAATAACTTAAAAAAAAAATATTCACAATATGTAAGTTACATATTTTAGTAAGTAAGTAACGTTTTCTATACAATTGAAAAAATAAGTTTTACTTTAAATTGCATCTAATTCAAAACTTATATTTTCCAATATTTATTTGAAAAATGGAAGTCTTTTAAGCTGCTTTATATTTATCTGGCTAGTTTCATTTGCTTAAAACTCAAAAGACAAATAAAAGTTTGGTTGCCGCTTCCCTTTTACAGCTTATTTCCATACAGTGTCTTATTATTTTTTTACTTTTAGTAAATAAATTTTATTTCTGCTACTCCATAATCGTATCTACTTTTCGCATTTTACGCCTTCTTCTTTAAGTAGTTGGTCACAGCAAAGTAGTACTTAACGTCTTAAAGATAAACCCAAATGCTACCAAAAAGTCCTTTGCGAACGATTTGTACAACCACAATAAAAGCCTAAAATTATGCTTAACTTTCTCCTTGATAGGCAAACGCTCTCAAACGCAAACATACTTTATTTTTAGTTTTTCTTAACTTTCTTTTATGAATTTTCTTTATATTTGAAGTTTTCCGCGACAACTATCTTTAAGTTGATCTAGTCTACTTAACATATTTTCTTCTTACTGCGTTCTTTTTTTGTGGATAATATTTGTTTTTGTGTTTTATTTACGACTGAGTGAGCATTTCATTCAATATTATCCTTTCGGTGTTTAGCTTTATTTAAAATCTTTATCCTAAGTGGGCTTATTTTAGCTTAATTTTTTATGCCACTTGTATTTTACTTTTCGCTTTCTTACTTCTTGTATTGCCTACTTTACGGCGTTTAATACAGTTGCTTTCAACGAACTTAAAAAGAATGTCATTATTTTTATTATTCATTTAATTTGTTAAATAAAACTTAAAAAATATTGGTTTAAAAAAAATATTAGGAAAATATAATTTAATACTTTATACACAATTTTTTTTAACAATTAAAAACAAATTAAATTTTTTAATTCAATTATTCTTTAACTTGCTATCACTTCGTTCTAATATAACACAGCAACACAGATACTAACTCTGGGCATCAAATTCGAAAAGGTACAGGGTATTCCCAGAGATCCTCTTGTGATAAAATATGAACATATTTAGAGAGAGTAGTAATTTGATTGATTTTTCTTAAAAGATTATAACATTATTAGTATTACTAGTTGATGAACTCGAACATTATGGATTGTTGTCTTATGCTATACACAAAGTTAATGATGGATTTCTTTCATTTCGGCTGTTTACAAAAGTCTTAATCTCTTCTAGATCAATATTTGAATACTGTGAGGCGTGAGAAGAGCATTCTCTAAGATTATGTAAGGATGTTTCTGTGACTATCATACATTGTTGGCATTCGTCTATTGTTAAAAAGACTAACTACACTTTTGCCTATTTAGAAAACAGTGACCAGACATCACTGCAATCAATGTTCTTCAATCCGATTTGTTCAGGCTTAGTTAAAATACTTCTTCCTTTTCTAAGTAGTTTAGAGAGAAGAGTTCGGTACAGTGGGCACCCACCCTCAGTTAGAGCATTTATGATTAGCTTTATTGCTGAAGTCCAATTTAATTAGGCTTATAAAGTGATTTTGGCTGACTGCAATAATTGGCTCTAGTCTATATGCTTGGTTTCGTATATGTCATATAAATACAAATATAAATTTTCAAGATCGAACTTGTTTTTATTCAAAAATGTAAACACAATCATAAGAGTCATAATTTAATTTATTTTTTATTTTAATTATCTTTATATTTTTGTATTTCAACAAGTTTTCTGCACAATTTTTATTTAATTATAATGCAGTTCTACATTGCAATAAACTAATGAAATATAATATAATTTTATGTTCCAATAGGATTAATTTTCTTGAAGATTATTATAAGTAACACTATAATATGTAAGTCATCAAGTTATACTACTCCTAAGCCTATAAAAGTTTAGCACTTCTAAATTTGGCTTGGCACATTAAAAAAAAGTATTTCAAGATACGTAGATACGTAATATACGGTTATGGTTCTTTTGAGTGCAACTTTTATACATACCCAACTTTTTGAATTATTTTGCTCGTGAGAAAAATAAAATATTAAAATGAATAATAAAATTTAATGTTCCCAAAGGACTATTCGAACTTAACAACACCACAATCGATTTATTCTTTTTAATATTTCATAATAAATATTTTATGAAATATATTTCGAAATAAATTGTTCATATAAAGTAATTATTTGTGACCTAATTTAAAATTTGATTAAATTAAACTAACAATATTTCAAAAACTTCATATATCTGACCAATTCCAATAACCCAAATTTGACAAAATAACTCACCATGAAGAAAAAGTGTATGTAGTTTGCTCAAATTGATTGATGCTTGTAACAAAAATCATATTTTTCTGATGTTGATATGAAATATCGTCATAAATTCTACAGAATAAGCCAAACAGCACAACAGCAACTACAACAAAAACAAATTTTATGGTCGTCCCAGCCACTAATGATAAATTTTAGTATTTTCCTATTTATGACCCTTCATGTTCACTCTGCTTTTCGTATGCATATTTTTATTAATTTTAAAAATTCTCGTTCGTTCATTTGCAAACTGAAAATACTGTGCATTGCACTACTCACTATTCACTATTCATCATCGGTTCATATTTGAAAAGCACTTGACTTTTCCCACAACATTTCATGACATTTTAACCGCAACGGAACAAGGGAAAAATTGCCAACGTAAAGAAAAGCTTAAGCACAACTGCTTTTGCCATTGCAATGTCGACTACTTTCGCATCGACATCAACTTCCGTTGCAACCAGAAGTTTTGACCTAAATTTGTCAAACTGCATCAAAATAGTTTTACAAAATTTCAATCGTGCCCAAAAATATTTGCGAACTTTTCTGCTGCAGTGTTCATCGGTTTCATCTTCAGTTGGAAAATCAAGAAGTGCCAAATCAAGTTCATATCTGCTTTGTACGTTGGTTTTATGCTTATTCTGCTGCTTTCCCTTAAAATATATTTTCTGATCATTCCAATGCATTCTGTTTCCTAAATCCTGTGCCGTATACGTACATCAAAGCACAGAAGCATCATCAAATCGTTTTCAAAAATAACCGAGCGCCTCAACAACTCTGATTAACCGCAGTATTTAACAAAAAAAATAAGGATAACGTATTAACCTGTTAAGACTAAGCAAGCACTTTAAACAGTAGTTGATGTAGTTACATAAATTAAAAATTATTTTAGTACATCATACACATTTTTTTTAATTAAAACTATAAAAAAAATCCCAAAAAAATAATTTATTAAAGGATTTTGTAAAAATTTTTACAAATTAGACTAAATGTAAGCAAATCATTTGTCTTGTGGAAAAGGTCAACACTACTTACACAATATTGTAATGCATAAATATGCTACTCTCAAGCACCACAGCACAAACTTGCTCTGCGGTTGAATATGTTTTATGGAAAGTTGTGGTTCCCCGTTGCATATACAGTACAAGTACATCGTTGATATGTTGCTCATGCTCATAAAAGTTTGATGAAATTGTCCACATTGACATTCTGGTACATGCAAACGAACTGTCTAAATTCAATCCTTTTTCTTTTTTGCTTCTAAATTTGAAAAAATGTTTAGTTCATACATATGTCATTCATTTTGTTAAATGAATGGAAACTTTTCGACATTACAGCAAAATTTTAATTAAATCAAATTTTTATTCTTTTGTATATAACAAATTGTTATTGGAAATTTTATATTTAAAAGTCGAAGTCATAGCTCATGAAGAAGACTCTGAAATTCTACAAAGTCTCTTCGTCCAACACAAATTAAAAATAATAATATTCTATATATCTATTTGTATTTAAAATGTATAGATTTTAGCTCAATAAAATAGAAAGATAGTTGTTCAGTAATGTATATGTACCTTAATATACTAAAATATATATTATTTGATTCATTGAATTTATTCTAATTATTTAAAGTGTAGACACAATCTAAAAGTTAGCAACAAATAATTCCTAACTTAGAATTAACCTTTAATTATTTTAGTATTAACAAAAGGACTCATTTAATATAATTTATAATTAATTGAAAACTTGTATTAATTTTTTCAGGCTCTCTGCATGTTCTCGCATTGGAACATTATTTGCCATCCCATGACGAGAATGGTGAATTCCACATTCCATTCCCACCTTCCAGTGAAATTTATGTATTTAATCGGTATGGTCAACATGTTGCTACAAAAGATTTGACTTCTGGCAAGACGCGTTATAGTTTTCTATATTCAAAGAACACTTCATTTGGTCGTCTATCCACAGTAACAGACGCATCTGGCAATAAAATACAATTCCTGCGCGATTACAGCAACGTCGTGAGTTCCATTGAAAATACTCAAGACCATAAATCGGAAATCCAAATCAACGGCATTGGCATCATGACAAAGTTAAGTGAGAAGGGCAGACAAGAAATAGAGTTGGACTATGATAGCAACACTGGTCTGCTAATGTCTCGTTCTTCTGGCGGCGAAACGTATATTTATCAGTATGATGAATTTGGACGTGTGACCGGCATGATTCTACCCAGTGGGGAAATAGTCCGCATAACATCTCAGTTGGCTGATAACAAGGGTTTGACAGTTTATGTGCACGCATCCGTGGAGTCATTGTTTTCACGTGAACGTGGCGAGACAAATGAGTTGTTGGTTTTGGGTGGCGTGCGTTCAACATTCATGAAAAAGGGACGAGAAAATGCCGATGCTGAAATCAAACCAAATAACACTTTGGTTATACACAGTGCTAATGGTGTTATGGTTGAGTCATCCGCTGTTGCAAGACATCCATTGTTAGAAGCAGCCTTGCCTGTTGAAGCAGAAATGTTGGCTATGTGGTCGCATCAGAGTGTGACAATGGGAGAAGGTTTAACAAATAATATGTATTCGGTATTCAATTTGGTAGGTGACGTTCGTAATCCACAGCAGACCTTAAACCGTGAAATATGGGTTAATCAATCGCGCGTTATTGGTGTAGAGTTTGATCAGTTCACGAATCGTGAAACATTCTATGATATGAATCGCACTCCGATATTGATAGTAGCCTATGATCAATCTGGATTACCGAAGTCCTACTATCCCACAAATGGTTATCCAGTAAATATAACATATGATCGTTTCAATCGCATAGAAGGTTGGGCTTGGGGTCCAGCAGAGCTGAAATACTCTTACGATCGTCATGGACTGTTATCTGAAATCACTTCACAGCAAGATGGCATTATATCTTTTGTATACAATGACTGGAATTTAGTCTCCGAAATCGGTTTAGCAAGTCAACGGAAATTCGTGTTGCAGTACGATGAGTCAGGTGGCTTAAGGCATGTAGTACTTCCCTCAGGAACAAAACACTCCTTTAGTATGCAGACTTCGATTGGTTTCATTCGCTGTACCTATACTCCACCAGGCAGCACACGTGCTTATCTTCAACATTATAGCCATTCAGGAGCATTATTGCAGACCATATTTCCTGGTGATGGTGCACGTATTGTGTATCGCTACAATGCGGCAGGACAGTTGACAGAAATAGTACATGGTGATGGTAAAAGTGAATTTTTGTACAACGATTCTACGGGTATGCCCAGTACTGTATCACATACTGAACGTGAACTTGAATATCGTTGGGACTTTGAATACACCGGCGGTTTACTAACAGAGGAACGTATCGATTACATAGCTAAAACGGGACTCAGTAATGCTAAGTTTACATATGAATACGATACTGATTTTCGTGTTATATCAATACAAGGAAGAATTGGCGGACAAAATTTGCCGGCACAAAACTTTGCATATGACATGCGCACTGGTCATCCAAATCTAATTGGACAGTTTAAAGTAATGCATCCCTTATTAAATCAAACGTTGGTCTATGACGGCACTGCAAGTTTCACACGTACGGTAGATGGTCGTTTTATGACGCAAAAAGTAACACTTTCCATACATCGGTTGGAAGTGTTCCGTATGGAGTATTCTTTCGGTGTTCATGGACGTATCTCTCAAACTCGCACTTACACCAGAAATATGGCGGTTAACACTTACACAAATGTCAAAAATTATACTTGGGACTGTGATGGGCAGTTAATAGGCGTTGAGGCACAAGAACCTTGGGGATTCCGATATGATGACAATGGAAATTTGCTCTCTCTTACGTATCGTGGCAATACCATACCAATGGAATACAATACACAAGATCGTATAGTGAAATTTGGTGAAGGCCAATACAAGTATGATGCACGTGGTCTTGTGGCGCAAAATGCGCGCGAAGAACGCTTCCATTACAACACTCAGGGTCTTCTTGTACGTGCTACTAAACGTGGACGCTTCGATGTGCGTTACTATTATGATCATCTGAAACGATTAACCACACGTAAAGATAATTTTGGTAATGTTACACAATTTTTCTACAACAACCAACAGCGACCGTATGAAGTATCGCAGATTTACTCACCGCGTGACGGTAAATTGATGTCATTAACTTACGATGATGTTGGGCACTTAATCTACGTACAAGTATACAGGCACAAATATTACGTAGCCACCGATCAGAGTGGAACGCCTATTATGATATTCAATCAATACGGTGAAGGCATACGTGAAATTATGCGTTCACCATTTGGTCACATCGTTTACGACTCCAATCCGTACTTGTATTTGCCCATTGATTTTTGCGGTGGCATACTGGATCAAGTAACTACCCTCGTGCATATGGGAGATGGTCGCGTTTATGACCCACTTATTGGTCAGTGGATGTCGCCTAATTGGGAACACGTATCTGAGCGCATAATAACACCAACTAAAATGCATTTGTACCGTTTCAATGGAAATGATCCCATCAACGTTGGTCATGATCGCTACTATCCGGCTGATTTCTCAACTTGGATGCAAAGGCTTGGTTTTAATGTAAACAATTTAGTACCGCAGTTGACGCGTAACTTATGGGAGCAGCCCTCGCTTTGGGGACGTGCAGCAAATAACCCAATTGCATTAAATATGAAACGACCCATAGACAATATACCAACAATGGCAGTTGAAAGTGGCTTCCTTGCACACTTAAACGTACGACGCATGTCGAGCTTTGAAGATCTTTCTGCACCACCAAAATCAGCACTTAAATTTGACGTTATGAATCCAACCCCTAGAAATATTGGCTCTGATACGGAGCCACCATTCGGAAAGGGAATTGTAGTATCACGTACAAGTGATGGTCAAGCCATAGTGTCAAGTGTGCCAGCCGCTAATGCAATTTATCGCGATGTATACACTTCTGTCTTCAATCGCTCCAAATTGTTGCCATTCACGTTTGTAGTGCATAATGCACAACAAGATTCATTTTTCTTTGTAAAAGAAGAATCATGGCGTGCAAGTGAAGACCGCCAGCAGTTGAAACGTTTGCAAGGGCAAGTCAATACTACATTCCATGAAATCACACGAGAAAATGGCAGTGGCAATAATTATTTGGATGTGAAAATACATGGTGCGCATGCCATTATTAATTTACGTTATGGCACCACAATTGATAAAGAGAAGCAGCGCTTGATGCATCATGCCAAGTTGACAGCAGTGCGCAAGGCATGGCATCGTGAGAAGGAAGCGCTACGTAACGGCCTAACAACGGCTTTAGAATGGACCCAGCAAGAAATTGATGAAATATTGAAACAAAGCTATGCTAACAACTACGAGGGAGAATACATACACGACGTGACGCTGTATCCGGAATTAGCCGAGGATCCATATAATGTAAAATTTATCAAGAAAAAAGGAGCAACTGGCGGAGCGGCAGGAGTACCAAACACAAGTAGTAGACGAAGAAGAAGTGTGGATAATAGAGATTCGCAGCTTGAAAATATAAATGAAAGGAAGAAACCGCAATACGTTTTACGTGTAACAAGGGCGAATAATGCGGGGATTGACGACTGCACAACCAATCGGTCTTGTTAGTTTTCAACTAAAATACTAGATAGTAGCCTCAAATTATAAAAGTTTTTTGATAATGATGGATAAACCTGTAAGTGAAAAACCTACTATTAAAATGAGCGTATGTGGTATAAGAAATTATTTAATATATAAATAAATATAAAAATTAAAAATATGTTTTGTATGTGTACAGTAGTGAATAAATTATATAAATATGTGTGTATAAATTTACACTATATAGAAAATAATTATAAAAATTTATAAGAATCGAAAAGAAAATATCTATTCGAATATATATGTCATAATGAATAACTGAAAAAAAACTAATTACTTAAGAAACTAAAATAATTAATAACACAATTTATATGTGGAAAGATGATTTGTGGTACTCGAGCTTTTTGAGACTGGCGTAGTTTTTAATAAGAAAAATTATTTATATTAAAATTTAGAAGAGAAATGCAAAGACCTTACACATATGAATAATCTGAAATTCCAAAATGAACAAAACTATTTATAAATATCTAACTAATTACAGTGAAAACCCACATTATATACTCATGTAGTTCGCTTAATTATGCCATATATAAATAGAACACAGAAGCTACATTGAATATGTCGTCAAGTATATGTCACAATTGAATTAATTAATTAATTAAACCCAAACTCCTTTTTCCCTAATAAATACGATAAAAAGAAATACTATAAAAATAATTAAACATAGTTTGTGTAATAAATAATGAATATAATTTTAATTGAATTTATTATAAATAAATAAAATATTGGAAAGAAGTAACTACTTTGGGGTACGAGACCAATTTGTAAAATATTATTATTATATTATATTCTGAATAAGATGTAAATGAATTTATATAAAAAAATTCCTCCAACTTTTAATTATTAATTTTAAAATAAAGCTGTAATAAATTTAATAATTTTAATAATATATAATAATGTTATGTTGTGTATGTACGCAAATATTTAGTTAGTTTCGTATAAGTTTCCAATTTAAGATTAAATATTCATATGCAAAATCTTTAAAATAAATAAATAGGGCTTATATTATAAGGTATAATTATAAGTGATATAATTGTTTATAAGTTTTTGTTATTATTTTTAAGCTTTTAATATAAAATTGTTCGATAAACATATATCGAGTAGTTTTTATTTAATTAAAGTAAATAAATGACAGTATTAAATATCAAAAATATTAAAAAAAAACGTTTTTAATTTTATTTGACTTATCATTTATATATACATATATTTTAGAATTACAAAGTGTTATTTCATATATTGTTTTTTTTTTATTTTAATTAAAATAAACCGAAAAATATACTCAAGTCCTTATTATTCAACTATTTATTTTTTAATTACAAAATGGTTTTATTATTATTATGGCCTTAAAATATTACATTGGCAAAATTCCGTCCGCACAAAAATTTTGTCAGTGTAGTAAATTTACAGGCAAACTCTATATCTTATTTTAATTTAAACAAAGTAAATGTATTTTAATTTAGTATTTTTTAAAACTATCTCAGAAAGAATTTGTCTTTGTGTTGCCATATTTTATCAGAATTTCTAAATGATTTAATTTTTTTATTTGTACTTTTAATTTTATAATAAATCAAATCATATCCTCTCTCTCTAATAAAAGTTTTTTTAGTTATATTTTTACGTATTCTGATATTTATTATTATTATAAATCCATTTTAAAATATTTTAATTTATATGTTGTTCTGTAAAGTATAAAAATATTTTAAGAAATATGTAAAAATTAATGTTTAATATTTAAAATATTATGTTTTTAGTTAATGTACTGTTTAAAGATTTATAATATTTTGAATATCAAACTTATTATTAAAAATATTTTAAAGCCGAAAAAAATGTAGTTCACCAATTCGAGATTGTCGTATTTTTCATATGTACCATAAAGTACATAGTCGCAAATGCTACTGATGCGATTTTCTACTACATAATCGCCGGTGCTACTCTATAGCAGCAAAACACCCATGGTTTTGGAATTATGCGAGATGCAGAAGTGTTTTTCAATCATTTTTATGGTATGTCGCAGAGAAGACTTTTAAATTTTCAGTGTAACATAACGTACACGAGAAACGTTCAGAAAGCTCAGCCGAAAAATGAACTCTATCTAACTTATAGCAATTTGTTCGTTAAGTTCGTAAACAACCAGGTTTCCTGGTCATAACCAGGTTTCCTAATTCCAAATTTAACATGATACATCAAATTGCTTCTTGTGGGACTTAAGACACACTGCAATAGGTTATATTGATCAATACAGACAGTACTAACCGGAGCCATGTATTTTTCACCGCTAGTTAGCATTGGCAATAAATGTTTTTTTACAGAGTGCTCGGCTTCTAAAATGTCGACATAATATTATATTATGCATATACTACATAATATATATAATATGTAATGTCATTAAATATATTTTAAAACATTAAATAAATACTGTAAAAGTATTCTATGTAATTTAATTTTCATAACATTTGCTAAGGTTCGAGTGACCTTTTATAAGACAAGTTTGATTTATTTTTTTTCCGTTTTTTTTTTAATGAAAATTTTTTATTGCTGCTTCAAAGAAAATATGGAGAAAAATTCCTTTTAAATTAAACACTTCAATTCATAAACTTTCGAACAATTACAGAAGACATTCTAATTTCTTTGAATTATTTTTAAATATTTTTTTCAAAAGTTAATATTTAAAATTGGTGCTTATCGAATTTATTGCATAAATATAATAAATTTAGTGTTTTTTATAATTAAAAATTAGTATTAGAATTAAGGTTAAGTAATTGGGAAAATATGTTAATTTGCTGAATTAGTTGGAAGTTTACTAGAATCGCTTTAAAACAGAACAAGCTAAAGGAAAACCATTAGGAAGTAAGCAAAATTGTATAAAAATTACATAAAAGAATAACTTAAGGAGAATATAAGATATATTTTTTAACTAAAACCAAAACGTAAATAAAATATATAAATGTGGCCAAATAAAATTAACATAATGAAATATATGACCTTAAAATTACATTGATGTTTTAGTTGAATCGTATGAGTTTTGAATCAAAACATAATTTAGAAGAAAGCATACGAAACTTATAGAGCAATTATGTGTAAAAATTCATTGAAAAGATAACCAATTGAGGCTTAGGAATTTTAGTTCTACAATAGAGTTCAATAGTAGAGAAATAGCATTAAAATAGTACTTGAATATTTGTTTCGTAAGTTCCAGTTGATATAACAGACAAACATATAATCTAGTATAAAATACATATATAGATATAACTATTTGCTACAAGAAAAAAAATATATATATATATATTTTCAAAGTAATAAATATATAATTATTACAACAACAGCACGCAAGGTCTCTCCTAAATGTTTAGCTAAATACAAATTTAATGAATGTAAATTTAAAACTAAACTCACTTAAGTAATGCATACAAAAATAGAAATCACACATATATATAAATTAATAATTATATATATTTATATATGTACAATACGCTAAGCAAAAATAAACTGTATACAAAATATACATACACGTCTACATCCAGCAGAAAATATTACCTTACCATCTGTTTTAATTAAAACAAACTTAAATTCGGATCCAGTTTAAATTTATTCTCTCTAAAATCAATTTCTTCTCTTAGTAAATTGAATTTAAAAAACCGAGTTTAGACATATTTCTTATCAAGATTCAATATGGAGTTGGTCTTTTCAATTAAACTTTTGCCACATAATCACACCTTAGTCTAAGTTTCACGGCCCTCTAATTCCATCGTTTATTAAAATATTTTGTACACTGCCCAAGATACATATTTTATTCGATTTCCCGAAAAAATTCCAAACAGTTTTGCCATTTTTCACACAAAAACTAACCTGTAAATAAATTGTAATATAGAACTTCTAGTTTAAATATTTATAAATAATTATAATTTTTATAAAACCCCGTACATATGTAGCGAATAATTGAAAAATCGAAAATACACATTTAATCGTAAATAAAATTTATAATAAAAACAAAAAATATTAAACGCAATTTTAAGTATTTGTAAATATTAAAATTAAAATAATTTTTTTTCTTAACTAAAACCATAATTAATTCTTAATTAAATAATTGGTATTTTAAACAAATATAATTAAATACCCTTTTCGATTTGGTTAAAATTTAATTGGCAAAAAATATTTGAAAGAGCAGGAGTCAGTTACCTATTAGCACTTGGAAAAAAGGCTTTAAAAGCTTATATGAAAGAATGAAATACATTAAAAATATATTTAAAATTAAACTGAAAATCTGCTTAAAATTACTGTGAAAATCCTTAAATTAGTATAAATAAACAAAATAAATGTCAATAAGGACAGCAAAATTATAAATAGAATCTCTATATAAGTATGATTTATATGTATTTGTGTAAATAAACAAATTCTATTCTACATGTTAGATTATTTATTAATATATATATATACATAAATATATATAAATATATATTTAATTGAAATAAAATTAAAAATTTATGCATTAAAAATATATTTAAATGAGTAAAAACAGGGAAACAATTCAGAACCGCGTGTTCTGAGACCGTGTATGGAAGGCGTATTCACACGAGTACATACATGAGAGCACATAGTGGGTATTCGCTTATATGTGTTGAGAAAGCATACATAATAATAAACTTATAAACAATTAAACAATTAAATATTTTCCAAAAAGCAAGAAAACAAAATTTAGTAACAGCATGAATTTAAAAACAGAAGAGATAACAAATAAAAATATTATCATAAATAAAATAAAATAAAATAAAATAAAATTAAATAAAATAAAATAAAAATATATTAACAAATTATATTTACTAGACAAAATAATGTAGATTATTCACATGTATGTATGCATAGATCAAATAATAAGTTTAAAATAATAACCATAAGTGATGGAAGAAAATTATTTGTATAAAAAGTATTCAATATTAAATAATAATTAAAATTAAAATCATTTGATTTATGTCAGAGAACTAAATGAACATAATTAACTTCTACGATGCATAATTAATGTATAAGAATTTGATTAAACTAATATAGAAATCTTAAGAAAACCAACAGAAGAAAATAACACTGAGGATATCAAGGGTCTATAAAAATAAATAAATGAATAAAAAATTAATCAATTTCGAATTTTTATTTTTTATGGAACTCCAAAAGGTAATCTATGTATTTATTACTTTCAGGAAATTATACGAGATTTGTAACTATATTTCTTTATATTTACAAACGTATTATTAAACTATTGTGTACAATACCACAGCTGCATTAAAGATAAAAAAACTCAATATAACACATCGGGCGATAAGTCTTCAAATCTGTCAAATACGATATGTGCGGGTGTATCTTGAAGTAAGTATAATTCATACAATTTGGCCATAGTAGCCAACATGTTGTGACACAGCGTATTGTCTTGGTAAGAAAGACTTGTTTCGCGATTCCTTCCCTCAATCGCACCAGTTGAGGACTGTTGTTGATAGTCTGCCCATTTACAAGGTAATCTATGAACAAAACTCGCATCTCAAAATATGAACAGGTTTGCAGGCGGCTGTCCTATTTGATAGCTGGCTATCGATTCGACTCTGGAGTAAAGTTATCCATACAAGCTTTATTCATTGTTATATAACGACGTAAAAAGTCATTTTTATTTCGATTTAACAGCTTAAAACAGCTCTCATCGACACGTTGTTGTTTTTAGTCAACTGGAGGGGAACCCGCTTCGAAAAGAGTTTTCTCATAGACACATTCCTTTGAAATCTTTATGGTGGCAGCAATCTGCTCTAGCTATCTACTTTCTTGATGTTTTCCAATGTCGCCAGGTTTTTTGGATTACCGTTCGCTACGCTTTTGTGCGTTCGGCATTATCAATGTTTGAACGAACGCATTTAAAGTCAGCACACAGCGCACATTTAAAGTCATGATTTGTCTCAATGGAGAGTAATCAAATGGATTGTCATCACATCAATCTATTGCAGTCCCAGATTTTTCACATCAAGAAGCAATCATAATTGAAGACACAAAATGGCTTTGAGTCCATTGCAAACTATCGTAACCACCATTAATTACTTGTTATAACTAAATAAAAAATAGTTCAAATAACTCATGGACTTATCAACCGACGTTATTAATTAGAAAGAGTTTGTGACCAATACAGTCTCTAACGTATAGGAAACCTTTAAATGAGCTACCGCAATAAACATAAATAAATAAATAAGCAACGTTTAAATATCTAACCCAAAGATTTACATAAGACGAAGTAGATACCAAATTTACTTTTTTTGTGGTACTCCAGAAGAAACCACACAAAGAGTGAAGACGGAGTAAGGCAAGATATCAGCTTATAAACAGATCTACACTGAACATGAGATACTCTTTATCTTTGTACTCTCGGTGCTTCGAAATATTCATTCATCTAATAATATGTGCAGAAAATAAATCATCAAATAATATGTGGAAACAATATTTCATCATAGTATAATCGTATAAATATATATTCTGATTAAAATTGTTACTTTAATGTAACGTACTTGAAAAAATGAACCGAAGGTTTTTAAGGCAATTTCATTTCGATCAATGGTGAATAACCGATCACTTTTAGAGAAAATCAATAGCACTTTTACTATTTATCGAGCTCAGTACTCATAATAGTGAATTCCACTAATATACATATATCTGATATATAATATAATCAGATCTTGCGAACTTATGTAAAGAGACCGCGTGAATACTGCAAGGCTTTCATCAGTTTTCCCTAAATAGGTTTTGAGAAAAATATTCTTTTGTCTCCTCTTTGGTAGGCACGAAATACCTAATAAATTATTTAAATTCAACGGGATGGTCTGTAAAATTCTTATATGAAGCAACCAACTCCTATTTTTAAATGTTGCCTTAGGTCCTATATAGAATATTCAACGTTAAGTCCAGCGGTTGTGCAAATAGTACTGGTGGAAGTCATAATGCCATGACTCTTATCTATTGTTGAATCTTTGTCGAAGCATTCACTCTCTCACATCAAAACATTAATGCCAGTGTAGAAAAAAATCAAAAAGGCCTGAATCAAAAATACAAATCTCTATTAAAAACCTGCTAACTTAAAATTGCACCTAACCCAAGAAGACTATTTAATACTTAAGTGTACTGTACTTTGCTATTGTGACATGTGATTATAATACCGGTAAGTTCTTAAATTGTCAAAATTTCTTCGTAATATTTCAGAGGTTAATTATATTGTTTTCAGCTTCTGCTTAAAACGGAAAATATGCAACGATTACTTAGTTATATTTTTTAAAGAAACCCAGTGACAAACGTTGGGAAGTAAAAATAGGCAGTGTTGAAGCAGGTCACTATCAAATCAATATCATTCATACTACTCAAGATTTTCAGAGCTCCTCTAATAATAAAAATTACACGAGAGCTCAAAATTTGAGATAAATGTTAGTAAGCTGTTCGATGAACTCATTATTTTGAAATACCAATTGCATAATGATACTAATGTTACTTCTGTCATTATCTTAGGTTCCATATAAAGTCACAACAAAGACCAAATATATCTAAATGCATCCATAGTTTGAAAAATTGTTCCCCAATAAACGTTTTAATTTGAAACTCTGTGATGATCTCCAATTAATTGACATAACGATGAAATTATTACTCTACTCTACTGTTACCATTACTGATTATAGTCTCATTTCCATCTTAAGTTTTATTTAACATCGTAATAGAAAAAACATATAGACAGCACTTTACGTATTAAATATAGTGTCTATAACTGTTGGTAGTAATAGAAATAACTTTTTATAGCTTAAACTGATAAAAACCTTATATATTATTTAAAGGACGTCGAGGTAATCTCGCTCATGCCACTGATGGTGCTATAACCGGCACGTCTTCACATTTTACAATATATTTGAAGACGAACTAGTTTTATTATTTGCATTATATCCCCTTTGTCCTGTAATTAATGAATAACTTTTTTCCACACATTTCAGATATCACTTTCGAAAACTGATGTTTGTATATATTCAATAGCAAAGTCATTAATGAATTTAGCGATATATAGTGATTTTTTTTTTGTTTGTTATATTCAGTGATAAGACATTACTTTTGTAGTAAATATTCAGTATTTTACGATATTTACAACTGCATCTGCAAAATGATCAATTTAACCAACTAAAACGCAAAGTGTGACGATGCCAGTATGTGACATTATATGACTTCCAGCAATCGTCGCGCTACTATAGGTTGCTTTCTATATATCAATTATTCGCAACGCCATCAATGTGTCGATTTGTATTTGCCAGTATTTCCACATCAAGTTTTATCACCAGTTACGATCATGTTTGGTCAATTAAGAATTCAAAATCGTAATCATGGTAAGTTTGTGGACATCGTTTAACATTACCTACACGATATTTCGCGCCAAAAGTTGGTAAAAAAATGTGTGGAGGGGTTTCTTGTCGTAATGGACAAGAATTTTTTTTATAGATATATCAAAAGATCGTTGCACTTCTTTTAAAATCATGTGTTAGGGGTCAAAACTAATGAAGATTTCTTAATGTTTCTTTTTTTTGTTTTGAGTTGTATAATGTTATACGGGAATACGGGAATACGGGGTATACGGGAATACCGCTATAACGCGTTTTCCTATAACGCGGAACAATCTACAGTATTATAGGGGGGATTACTGTAATTCGTAATTTCTGAAGTTTTTATAATAACGAACTAATCCATATTTTGGCTTTAGAGTTACAGTTTTAATAACTCTCAAGAAGTTGCATTTTGTCTAAGCAGATCTTAGTATTTTTCAGAAGCCATGCCAATGTTTTTGGTGTACTAAATAAAAATGTTAGACTTTCTTACTTTTCTTTAAACAGTATTTTTTTTTATATTTAGCATAGTAGAGTTCCTTGTAATTCTTGTACCTCATCATTCCATGCCCGATGAACACAGTACTCAAGTTATGCACTGAATAAATTGCGAGCTGGATTAATAAATAATTTTAGTGACTTTGCCTGCAATAGGTGCGCTTGGAAGTCTTTAATCAAAATATTTTATTCCAAACCGGAGGAAGCCGATCACCATCAATCACCGCATGAAATTCGAGATACTCGTCGTATAATGCATAGTAGATGTAGTAGATGCTTTTAAAATGCGCTACCAAGACCATCATAGAGGTATATTATAAGGTACCTAACGTAATGACTACATAAACAAATTCATTATAATAAAGTTTACATTATCCAATAAAAATTCATAACAATTCCATTATGGCATTATGGCTTTATGTGTGTGAGTGCGGGGGCGAGGGCGAGGGCGAGGGCGAGTGCGTTGTGGCTACAATGTCGGCACTCATGTTCTCGCGTATGCGGGTTGGGTTTATGTGCTCGTACACAACTCATGGAGCTGCGGTAATGTTTGCCTTGGTGCTAAAATAACCATAAAATCTGTTCTGCTTTTACATAAATTAAATGACCAAAAAATTATATCTAACGACTTTCTTGAAATATTAACGCGCTCATAAAAAATATACAAAATTTTATATTTTTACATGCATTCGCGCAGAGCCACTAACAAAAGCACAAATATTTGCCAAACATATTTACATTTAATAAAATGTAAGCAATTCCAGAGCGAGTCACAGCCACTCGTTCCAATGTTTATTTAGAATAAATTTTATACTCGCTTATATTTCCGAGTCCTAGCCATAGTCGTAGTCGTAGTCATAGTCACAGATTCATGCGCTCGCTCATGCTTTCCCCAAATATATGTAAGTGCGAGTAGATACGCTCATACATGACCATAGTTTACGATGTCGTAAATTTACTTGACGCATTAAATTTGCGCTGTTATTGTTGCTTTTGTTGTAACATATTTTCTTAATGAAAATTTTACGATATTATTTTTGCACTAAGCAAAGCTGGCTAGCAAATCCACAACCGAACTCGAACATCACTTCTCCATCTAATCATAATCAAGCCCAGCCATTTCAGTCTTCCATAAGCGAGTGCAAAATTATTGCTGCGTCGCTCTAATGAAAGTATCCATTTAGCCAGTTAGGACTCTTTCCTTTCTTTTCCTTTCCTTTCCGTTTGATATGCTGCTGCTTTGCTTGACTCTGTAAGTTGCTTTGTAAATATTGCATTTTTCTTGATTTCATTTAATACTCGTACGTAGATGAATTGTACGATTTTGTACGATTTCGTACGATTTTGTACGTTTGTTCACGTTTTATGTTGTTTGCGCGATATTAAAAAGAAATTATTACTCTGTTTTTAGTAAACAATATGATTTTTTGACTATCCGCCATCGCAAACTTCTATCAAATCGTGCACATAAACGCATAAACGCACAAACGCATAAACGCACAAACGCATAAATCCATAAACAAAGGCGTTTGTGACTGTGCGAGAGTTCGATGTGGTGTTCATAAATCTATGCCCCCTCCCCCGGTTTGCTTAATAAACTTCGTTTCAATTTGACAGTATGCGGCCATGTGTGATGAACATGACATTTTAATGAAATTGCAAATTTTCATTAATACTTTAATTTTTGTTGCTTTGGGTTATTGCATGGTGTATCCTGGCTCTTGGTTTAATACATTTTTATTTTGCCATTAATGCGAGTAATAAAGGCTATGGAGCTTATAATT